TTGATATTTTTAGATGCTCAAAAGGCATTTGATAACGTGAATTGGAGATTTATGTTACTTTTAATGGAACAGATGGGCTTTGCTAGAAGATTTATTCAGGCAATAGAAGCAATTTATAATGAACAAACAGCTAAGGTAATGATGGAGGGAGAACTTACAGATCCTATTAATATAAGAAAAGGCACAAGACAAGGTTGTCCTCTTTCTCCCTTGATATTTGTATTGACTTTGGAAGTGTTGAATAGAAATATCAGAGAAGATAAAACTATAAAAGGAATGAAAATTAAAAAGGAAGAATTTAAACTACAAGCCTTTGCAGATGACCTAGTCTTTATCTTGGAAGACCCTATAGAAACAGCCTTGAAACTGTTGGAAAAGATAGAGGTCTATGGGGAGGTGGCTGGTTTGAAAATAAATAGAGATAAAACAAAGATTTTGTCAAAGAATATGTTGCTGAAACAAAGGGAAGAGTTGTCAGAACTGTTAAAAATTCAAGTTACAAACAAGGTTAAGTATCTGGGGATATATTTGACATCAAGATGTAGTACATTGAAGGAGAATAATTATATTAAACTTAAACAACAGATAGCTCAAGACTTGAAAAAATGGGAGAACTTACAATTGTCATTAATAGGAAGGATTTCAACAATTAAGATGAACATTTTACCCAGAGTCTTATTTTTGTTTCAAACAATACCAATTAGGCTTGGAAAAGAATATTTTGAGGATTTAAATAAAATTGTTTTGAAGTATATATGGCAAGGTAAGAAAGCAAGAATAAAGTTAAAGCTTTTACAGGATGCTAGATTTAGAGGAGGGTTTGGACTGCCTAATTGGGAGTTGTACTACCAAGCTGCAAACTTGACGTGGGTTAAAGAATGGATAACATTAAGGAAAACCAGATTGTTGACATTAGAAGGTCATGATTTGTTGTTGGGCTGGCATGCTTTTTTATGGTACAAGGGAACTAAAACACAGGGGTATTTTAGAAGGCATTATATACGGGAGTCTCTGTGGTTGAATTGGGAGAAGATAAAAAAACAGTGTTATTTGAAAATTCCAGTTTGGTTATCGACGATAGAAGCGTTTTCTTATCCTATAATCTATAAAAAGGAACAAACAGTTAACTATGGGGAATTATTAGATGAAAAGGGTGAACTTAAATCGATGCAAAAATTGGAAGAACAAGGTATACGGATGAATTGGTTTTCATATTTGCAAATATATTCAAAGTACCATGAGGATTCCAAAGCAGAGGGATTTTATGATAAGCAAACTGACTTGGATAAGATTTTGATGGGTACTGATGAAAAGGTGATTAAAAAATTGTATGGTTATTTATTGCAAATTAAGCTTGAGGAAGAACAAGTTAAAGAAACTATGATTGCGTGGGGGAGGAATTTTGGATATGGGATTGATTTAGAGAAATGGCAGAAATTATGGTCGCAAAATTATAAAATGACAATGTCTACAGCCTATAAAGAAAACTTGTATAAGATGTTTTACAGGTGGCATTTTCCCCCGACAAGGATAGCAAGAATGTTTAAGAACAAATCCGAAAAATGCTGGAAATGTCATCAGAAACCTGGTTCATACTATCACATGTGGTGGACTTGTGAGGATGCTAGAAAATATTGGACTAAAATCCACATGTGGCTGGAAAAAATGACAAAGAAGCATATAGACTTGAAACCGGAGTTTTTTCTATTGGGAATACTACCAGATACTTATAGTAAAGAGTTGAAATATTTGATTGTAAATGTATTGACTGCTGCTAGGATTGTATTTGCAAAAAATTGGAAAAATGAGAAAATTCCATTGCAAGAAGAAGTTGTAAAGAAAATTTTGGAATGTGCTGAGATGAGTAGATTGACTTTTGAAATTAGAGAGCAAGAAGATAAACAATTTTATTTAGTTTGGGATCTTTTCTATCAATGGTTGAATGATGAAATATTAAAATATAAAAGTTAGATAATAAGGAATAATAATGACTTTATTTTCCCTTTCCTTTTATTGGTTTTTGATACTATATTTATATAATAGCTTTCTTTGTTTCTTTCTTTTTCATATTTGGGATAGAATTGGTATGATTATAAGATTTGTTTTAGAATAAAATATTTAAAATATAGTTATCTCATAAAGGCATGACCGAATAAAAGTTTAGTCAAATTTTTTCTTTTTTTTCTTTAATAGAGATACTAGGATTTATAAATTTGTATTGATAAGAGTATTATATAAAGTAACTGTAATTGTGACTATGAGGTGAATGCACAAAACCGATGGACCAACCGACTTACGGTGTGTACAAAAATATGGGGGAGCTGATACTTTTATGCTTTGTTGTTGTGTTTTTTATGTTAAAAAAATAATAAAAATTTATATATAAAAAAAAAAAAGAAAATAGAATTGAGGTGTGACTCTTTGATGCCAGAGATTCATAATTCATAGATCAACCTGGTCAGTTTTCACCTTCTAGAATTTCAGAGGAATGGCCCAAAAGTGATAATCCTGGGAATAGAATTTCTATAACAATGACTATGCTTTTGTTACAAATGGAACAGTTATTTTGAATATACAGGAAGCCCTCGACTTACAACAGTCCATTTAGTGACCGTTTGAAATTACAATGGCACTGAAAAATGGGACCTATGCAGGGGTAGGCTGCTATCGATTTGCCCTGGTTCTGGTGAACTGGTAGCTAATTTTATCATTTTTTAATGATCGATTCAGTGAACTGGTAAATCCCATCCCTGGCTGACCCTGCCCACCCCTCCCCTCTCCTCCCAGGAGTCCCCATGCAGCCCGTTTTGGATGCCAGGTAAATGCAGGGCCCATGTGGAGGCTCAGGGTGGGTGATAAACGGGCCTCCCGGAAGTTTCGGAAGGACTCCAGAGGGCCTCCGGAGCCCGGGAAGGGTGAAAATGCCCTGCCCCCCACCCCCCATCATGATGAGGAGTCCAATTAGGCCACGCCCACCATGGTCATGCCCACCCAGCAAACTGGCAGAGAACCAGTTGCTAACATTTTTGAAGCTGACTCCTGGACCTATGACCATTTTTCACACTCATGACTGTTGCAGCATCTCCAAGGTCACCTGATCAAGATTCGTTTACCGATCATGTTACTAACCAAATTGCAGTGATTTACTTAACAATTTTTGCAAGACTTTGCAAAATGGAGGGAAATTCACTTAATAACTATCTCACTTAGCCACATAAATTTGGGGTTCAATTGTGGTTTGTAAGTCGAGAACTACCTGTAAATTAATTTATTTGGTTAAGAGAAATGGCATAGCGTGAAATGTATTCCTGCACTTAAGTAATAATTACTGCATCTTTTCCTAGGAGCAACCATGAAGGTCATTTTGGACATCCAGGGTTATATTGCCATCATTCTTTCTGCATGTACGGTGATATTGTATACTTTACTAGGAGGTTTGTATTCAGTGGCCTATACAGACGTGATACAACTTATCTTTATATCGCTCAGTCTGGTAAGTTCCTATCTTATTGTATTACCACTCACTTGAACTATTGGGAGTGATTCAAAATCCAGAATGAAACACCAGTGTACTTTCATTATTTATGACAGTATTTCCCAACCCTGGCAATTTTGAAATCTATATATATAAAAGCGAAATACCACTCACGCATCATCACAAAATCTCCAGAACCGTAAAGCCTACAAACTTGAAATTTGGCACGTATGTTCCTCTTGGCTTCTAGGTGGTCACTAAGAAAGGATTTTTCGAAATGACCATCAGAGCATTAGTATTTCGTATATTATTATTAACACGCTCTGAGGCTAAGGAGTTCTACTCTCCCTCTCCACCTGAAAAGAAATCTGTTCCAAATGTAAAACACAAGCAGAGGAGAGGAGTTTCAGTTTTACTTTCACAGCACCAAGCAGCTTTAGTACAGAACAGGTGAGCTAAGCCACACCCAGGCTCCTTGCTGTCTCCTTCTTGCTCACATAGCAAATACTGTTTCAGTTTCCAAACAGCCCTCAACTCTCTTAAACACTGACAGGATGCTAACCAGATGAATACCGATGGATGCTGGTAGGCAGAGGCAGAATTTTTCCCCCTTATTTTCCTCCCAAAAAACTAAGCCCGATCACATAGTTTTGTAGCAAAGAACGGATATTGAGCTAGTACAATATATGAACTTCAGCTCCCAGAATTCCCCAGCTAGCATGCTGGCTGGGGGATTCTGGAAGTCGAAATCCACATAGCTTAAAGTTGCCAAGGTTGAGAAGCACTGATTGATGACATCCCAATAGATTACAGACTTTAGGACATGCTATTCAATGAACTGGGAGATAATCTGAATCAATAAAGGAGAGTATTTGTAGCTTAGAGTTGAAATGAGGTGTCCTTAGTGCTCTCTGAGTTTTGTTTTTCTTGCAGATATTTCATTACCCAAAGTATGGTAAGCAATTTCAATTAGTGCTCTTAATGATGTTATGTAGTCTGGATAATGAAACATCTGCAAGAAAAGAAAACCAACCTCAGAGACCACCAAGGATAATCTGAATATTCAATAGCAGAATAGAGCACTAGACACTGAAAAAAGACACTACATGAATAAAACAGTGAAGTAGCCAGGATACACTCAGAAGTAGAGACAGGATCTAAGTGGAAGGGCCAAGTACAAAGAAGCGGGTGGAATCAAAACACAGAGGTGGGTGGGATTAAGACACGAAAGCAGCAAGTAATGCTATTTTCAATTCATCTATTTTTTTAAAAATTAATTCATTATCGTGACTGTGGAGCACAAAGAACGTTTTGACTACCAGAAACCCTTCAGAAAACATTTTAATTCTAATATTTCTGCTTTTTGCTGCCAGTGGATTTGTATCCCTTTCGCCATCATGAACCCTGCTACAGAAAACATTTTTCATACAGCTACTCACAATATATCCCAAGCCCCTTGGACCGGAAAAATAGAACCAGAGTTTTATGGAAGATGGTTTGATGATTTCTTATATTTGGTAAGATCTATTTCTGAAGTGGATGGGGAATTGGGGGCTTGACGCACTTACTGTATCCAACTAAATAATAAAAACAGTGGTTCTTCTAAATTAAGGATAACCCATGTTCTTCTTGGCACAAAAACACTTATTTTTTATTTTAAAAAAAAGATACACAGGGTAGTTTACAGATTAACAGAGTTGGAAGGGACCTTGTAGGTCATCTAGTCCAACCCCCCTGCCCAAGCAGGAGACCTTACACCATTTCTGACAAATGACAGTCCAATCTCTTGAAAGTCTCCAGTGATGAAGCTCTCACAACTTTCGAAGGCAACTTCTGTTCCATTGGTTGATTGTTCTCACTGTCAGAAAATATCTCCTTGTTTCTAGGCTGAATCTCTCCTTGTTCTGTTTCCATCCATTATTCCTTATCTGGCCTTCAGGTGCTTTGGAAAATAGGTTGACCCCCCTCCTCTCTGTGGCAGTCCTTCAAATATTGGAAAACTGCTGTCATGTCTCCCCTTTTTCATTAGACTAGCCATGCCCAGTTCCTGTAACCGTTCTTCATATGTTTTAGCCTCCAGTCCCCTAATCATCCCGGTTGCTCTTCTCTGCACTTTTTCTAGAGTCTCAACATCTTTTTTATAGTGTGGTGACCAAAACTGGATGCAGTACTCTAGGTGTGGTCCTACTAAGACTTTTTAAGAGTGGTATTAGTACCTCACTTGATCTTGTTGCTGATACGGTAAATTCACTCCACAAGGAGGGATTAAAACTAAATAGCAGTGTAGACAATACGCCTAAGATAATTCCAAACTGGAATGGGAGATACACAGGCAGGGCATTCTCTTCTTGATGGCTGGAAAACTGCTTTTCCACAGGACATTAAGAAAAACACACTCCTAAATTAAAGATGAAATGCAATTAATAATGTCAGACTGGGACGATAAGCTAATGTGGCAGATGTTGGGAGGCTGTTTCTTTGGTTTAAGAAAGGCAAACGGAGACCAGAAATTCTAGAATGATCCAGAAAGAAAGCTTTGGAGATGCTCCAAGAGTTGCCCATCACGCCTACTGTTAAATAAACTTTCCAGAGTTGTTAGATTAAAGGCAACCTGGTTCGAATTTAAGTTCTGTCTTTTTGGCTAAGATCAAGCATACCGTCGTATCTTGTTTTTATTTCAGTTCAGTTCAAGATTCTCCTTTTCTTCCAGGTGCTTGGGGCCATCCCATGGCAAACCTATTTTCAGCGAGTTCTCGCAGCTTCCTCCCACAAAGAAGCCAGGTTAATTTCCTATTTTTCTGGACTGGGCTGCTTCATCATGGCTATCCCTTCTGTATTGATAGGAGCAGTGGCTGCCTCCACAGGTAACCAGGGCTGAACAAGAACTGGAGAGTCAGAGCCATCATTTGGGTGGTTCAGACCTAGTAATCTATTGCCATACTATGGAAGATTCTGGGAGTTGAAATCTATACACTTAAAGTTGCTGAGAGCGAGAAGCACTGTTTTGAATAGATGTTAAATAAACTCTTATATCCTAATCAGTTCAAGGAGCCCTAGCATAAAAATAATTATGAACCCAAAGCAGTACCTCGTATAAAGGAATATAGAGCTGGCCTTGAAAAAGCTAAAAAGTATTTTTCTTAGTTTGCATTCATTTTTTTATTTTTTTGAGTGGTGCAGTGGCCTAGAGGTGGAGATCTCGCCTCACAATCTATGGGTTCCATCCTAGGTAGAGGAAGATATTTCTTTCTCTGGGTACAATACGAATATATCAGCTGAACAAAGCTCCGCATTGGTGACAGGAAGGGCATCCGGCCAGTAAACACTCAGCTCCACTCAGTTGCCTACACTCCACCCTGCAAGAGATTATGGGGTTGTTAAAAGAAGATGATAATTAGTTTTTTATCTTTGTATTTTAAAACCTCGATTAAAAAAACAGGATCAAGAACATAGAATCTTTTAAGAGAGTTGGCCTACCCATTTCTCCGCTGGTCAAATCACAACATCGTTTTGATTTTTTAAAAAATTAATCCTGCTTTGCCATTGCTTTCACTAATGAAAAAAGTGGGTAAGAAATTTCACACACCTCACATGCGCAAATCCCACATTTCCACAAGGTTTCCATCTTCTTTGATGGAGCTTTGTTTGATGTGGTGCACGGCTAGTAATATCTCATGTGAAAATGCTGGTACGTCATCAAACTTTGGCATTCTTGACAGAATCTATATGGTATAATCAAAGGTATAATCTCATGTTATCTGGTGATCCTGTGAACTATCATTTTGTAAAAATAATTTGGGAAAGACGCTTAAGCCACCATGCATATTGTCTTGGATAGCTGCCCAGAAACCTGCTCATTGTGTGTATAATATTTCACCAAATATATTCAAAGCAGCATATAAGAAATACAATATTAAAACTACTATACCTCAATCAATAAAAGAAGACAATAAATAGAATAATTTACATCAAAATGGAACTTCAAAAGTCACCTAGCCCAGCTGTACCCATACAGAAGCTAGACTTTTGTTTCAAATATTAAGGATCAAATATGAATAAATATACATTTAAACAACTGTAATCTTGACCCTAATTCAACATTTCTCTAGTCAGATTAAATTTAATCCTCAATTCCCAAAATCAAAAGTTGATTCCCTCACCTTATCTTGTCTTTAAGTCAAAAGAAATTCATTCATGTTATTCTCTCAGCAAAGCAGTCAATTTTTGCCATTCGTTTCAAAGTCCATACTTCCATTGTGAATATATACTATAGGTAGTGCTCAATTTGCAACCACAGTGGAGCACAACGTTTCTGTTGCTAAGCAGGGCAGTTGTTAAGCGAGTTCTGTCCCATTTTACAATCTTTCTTGCCACAATTGTTAAGTGAATCACTGCAGTTGTTAAGTGAATCATGCAGACTTTGCTTGTTGGAAGCCAGCAAGAAAGGTTAGAAATGGGTAATCAATCACCCAGGGACAGTCCAACTTTCACAAATGCATGCCAGTTGTCAAATGCCTGAATTTTGATCAGTTGTTAAGTGAATCTGGCTTCTCCATTGACTTTGCTTGTCAGATGGCCACAAAAGGTGATCATCTGATCCTGGGACATTGAAACCGTCATAAATACGAACATTTGCCAAGCATCTGAATTTTTATCATGTGACCATGAGGGTTCTACAATGATTGCTAAGTGTAAAAACCGGTCCTAAGAGCCATAGTAGTGCAGTGATTAGAATGCAGCGTTGCAGGCTAATTCTGCTGCCTGCTGGTTGCCTGCAGCTCAGCAGTTCGGATCCCACCAGGCTCCCAGATTGATGGGGGCAATAGGTTGACTCTGTAAACCACTTATAGAAGGCTGTGAAGTGGCATATAAGCCCAAGTGTTAGTGCTGTTAAATCATTTTGGGGGATGCCATTGTAACTTTGAACAGTCACTAAATGAATGATTGTAATTGAGGTCTACCTTTATTCTTTCCCTCTTTGGGCATATAACTGGGGTGTCAAACTCGCGGCCCACGGGCCAGATGCATCACGTGCTAGCCACGCCCACACCCAGTTTAGCGAAGGGGGGAAAAAGGCACAATATGTCACGTCACGAGTTTGACATCCCTGGCACATAACAACAACCTCATGTATAAAAATAAAGCCCACCACTGATTGACTTTCTGAAGCAACCTTTGAAAATGACACTTCTGTGTTTCCTTTTTGAGACTGGAACCAGACCGATTATGGCCTCCCCACCCCGTACGAAAGAAACGAGTCTGCTCTCATACTTCCGCTAGTCCTTCAGCATCTCTGCCCGATGTACATCTCCGTCGGTGGTTTGGGTGCCATCGCAGCTGCTGTGATGTCCTCTGGAGATTCTGCTCTGCTCTCTGCCGGTTCCATGTTTGCTCACAACATCTATAGGAAAATATTCCGAAGAAAGGTAAAGGGATAAATTATATAGTTAATGTCTGTCTACCACAAATGAGACAGGACTATTATTATAGCAATCGCAATTGCATTTAGACTTATATACCACTTCACAGTGCTTTTACAGCCCTCTCTAAGCGGTTTACAGAGTCAGCCTCTTGCTCCCAACAATCTGGGTCCTCATTTTACCCACCTCAGAAAGTTGGAAGGCTGAGTCAACTTTGAGCCTGGTGAGCCTGCAATTTGGCTATTTGAATCCCACCAGGCTCAAGGTTGACTCAGCCTTCCATCTTTCTGAGGTGGGTAAAATGAGGACCCAGATTGTTGGGGGCAATAGGCTGACTCTGTAAACCGCTTAGAGAGGCCTGTGAAGCACTGTAAAGCAGTATATAAGTCTAAGTGTCAACTAAAAAGATACTCCTTTGGACTTTTTAGCTGCCAGAAAAAGGGAGTAGGGAAAAACAAGGCATTCTTGAAATGCCTAGATCAGGGGTGTCCAACCTTGGCAACTTTAAGACTTGTGGACTTCAACTCCCAGCTTTGCTGGCTGAGGAATTCTGGGAGTTGAAGTCCACAAGTCTTAAAGTTGCCAAGGTTGGACATCCCTGGCCTAGATTATCACCCCAGCAGCCCAAAGTTGTCAGAGCATAAGAAGAGAGCATGATGGATGACTCTTGGAGATGGATGTGTCCCATTGGAGAAGTCACATCCGGGGGGGTGGGGGAAAAACTAGGGTCAAGGGGGAAATGTGTGATGTAATTTAGTATCGGCTGCACCCGGCCCCAGGCCAATATGGCAACTTCTAATAAATCAATTTACTTTTCTCCGAGATGCGGCTAGAGACTTTTGATTTGAATGAGGGTGGATTTGTTGGGAGCCCTGACAGCCCTGACACTAAGTGCTATTGTTAACATGCAACATTCACCCTGTTAATGAATTTGCACCCATTTTAATTTGGAGGCAATTTTTCCTGCCTTTCCCTCCTCCCTCTCTTTGATTTTTTACAGGCAACTGAGAAAGAGGTCCTGTGGGCAATGAGAATCTCCATGGTGGTGTTTGGGATAATTTCAGCACTTCTGGCTTTCTACTCCTCTTCGATCTTTGACCTCTGGTTCTTGAGTGGAGAGCTAGTATACACTCTCCTTTTCCCCCAGTTGTGTTGTGCTCTGTTTCTTTCCAGCACCAACACCTATGGCTCAATGGTTGGGTTCTTCCTTGGCTTTCTTCTACGGTTATTGGCAGGAGAACCATCCTTAAAGATCCCCCCTGTGATCTGTTACCCGGGATGCTCAGTTGTAGAAGGTATCTCTGTCCAGCTCTTTCCATTCAAGATGGTCACCATGCTAGTCACGCTGTTCACCATCTTCTCAACTTCCCACCTGGCCAGCTTTATGTTTAAGAGCAGAATCCTTCCTGCTGAATGGGACGTCTGCCAAGTTACCATGGATGCCAGAATGCCTGTTCCCTTCTCCAGGGAAGAAAGACAGATGGAAAAAATCCAGAATTGTGAGCAAGTAGAGGAAGCGGTTATGAAAGATATTTGACAGTATTATTCTTCTGCTACCACCGATTTTTGGGAAATTCCTTTGAGCTGTAAAAAAAAGTATCCATCTGGTTCAGTTCCAAGCTGGGAGAAAGACACTGGAAACATGGAGGCTGATTGGAAAGATGGTTTATTGATGAAGCAGAACCACCAACCACATGTGATTCTGGGCAGCTGATAAAATGGAGTTGAGAATAGGGTGGGTGGGTTATACTTTGTTTGGGCTTTGTATTTGAGCTTCCTATTCCTGTGCAAGAATTTGTATTCTATTGGCTGTTGTCAGATTCCTATGGGGTTATGTAGGGGTCATAGCTGGCTCTATAGGCAAAAGAGGAAATACAAATCCTAGGTGTCTGTCTGAGCTAAGTTTGGTTGAAGTTTGGACTGCTCTGAAAGGGTGTTATGTGGCTTAATATATAACACAGGACTTTTGCCCTGTGTTGGATCATGAGTGAGGATTAATCCTATCTTGAATGGATTACCAAATCTGCACTTCTAAAAGCTGCCTCTTCAGTATCAGTTGGAGCTACTAAAAAACACTGAGTCTGTTTTCTGCAGAGGTGGCCTTCAGCAGGTTCTGACCAGTTCTGGAGAACCAGTAGCAGAAATTTTGAGTAGTTCAGACAACCGGCAAATGCCACTTCTGACTGGAGATTTTACAATATCCTTCCCTTGCCATGCCCACCAAGCCACGCCCACAGAACCGGTAGTAAAAACAAATTGAATCTACCACTGGTTTCCTGCCTCAAAAAACCCCATGTTTCTCCATTTCTCATTTAGGAAAATATAATATTCTGCCTTTTTAATATTCCTCAAAATATTTCATTCTTCCAGGAGGGTGGTAAATGCTAACTTTCTACAGAGCAATGAAAAAATGTTGGCAGATAGGTCAGAATTCAAAATCACAGCAGTGTCTTTGCATTGTAGCAGCTGGAACACTTTTGCAAATACTTCTGATTGGATAGCTGAGCTCTTTTTATGCCAAGAATATTAATTTAGATATAGTTAGGGAAGTGCTACTTGCTGTTTTTTTTTAACTGAATATTTATTTTACTTAATATTTCAATTCTGAGGCTACCTGACTCCATAGGGATTCTTGCAGTGATTGTCTTACGATTAAAAATTTAAAATAAATGCCTGAGGAAACCACAAAGAAAGTTACTCTCCTTTGATCCTTGCAGAGAAATCATACAGAAATAGCAACACTTATTACATAGCACATTTAATAACCCAGTCTATGCTCTCAAGGGGAATATTGTTATAGACCCTACTTTATACAAACAAATATTGGGCATCAAAGTTCTTCTTTCTTATCAACCTAGTGACCAAAACCATCCTTACTTTTTTAATAAACCCATTGAACAAGTACAACCTGACATAAAAATGTTGCCATGTACAGTGTGCTAGATGTGTGCTAGATTTCCGGGTTGTTCCATTCCATTAGGACTTTGTGTTCAACTATTACAGTATTCCACTTCCTTAGCAGCTTGAGGCTATGTGGACTTCAATTCCCAGAACTCCCCAGCCAGACATGTTGGCTGGGGAGTTCTGGGAATTGAAGTCCATACGTCTTCAAGTTGCCAGGGAACATTGATCAACATACAAATTTTGTATTGTAGGCTCAGCAAGTTGCTTTCTCAGATTGTTTTGGATCTGCCCATATCACTGAAGTACAAATACCGTTTGGCCAATGTACATTTCTCCTTCCTTCAAGACCGGACATTTTTATGATGGAACCTTCAGCATTTTCTCAAGGTCCCAAATCTGCCATGCCCGCCCGCCCGCCGCCCCCACCCCACCCCCAGCAATTTTTAAAACTGGATATTCTGCTTTCATTGCCATTCCAGAGGGAAAATCTAACAACAACCACACACACCCTGAATTTCAAATGTAACTTTCTGGATGCATATATATTTTCTTACAACTGGTAGAGAATATCCATCCATATCCATACAACAATGAGAAGCGCATTGTTCTGCCATGCTGTTCTTCAAAATAACATACTAACTTGAAGTCTTTACTTAATGCCTATAAGTCTCTCGGCTGACATCGAAGAGATCATGCATTTTATACGTCTGTCCTGAGCAACGGATCAAAATAACCTGTACATAAAAATGTTAAGTTCCAGCAGCCTACATTTTGTGGTTCAACATGGATACGTGTGTCTAAGAATGATCTTCTTCAAGAATCTTCTGACAAAGCACAATATGAAAAAAAAAATCCTTCTGCCAACAACGTGAAAGGCAGAGAATTTACTGTTAGTCTAATAAAATAATCTGAAAGCTACATATTGTGTAAAAAAAAACCTGCCACATTTGGGTAAATTTCTAATGCACCATGTGGCAGATTAAGAGCTTTTTGGCTCCTGTTAGTCTGATGCTCTTTTCTAAGTCTATTCTTAATTCTATTATTTATGATTTCAGATCCCCAGAGAAACTTTAAAAACTTCGCAGGATACAAAGGTGGGAGGAAAACTGAACTGCTGATACCCAAAGAGAGGATATACAGAAGAATTGGAAATATAGTTTCTATTTTTGTTTAATTCTGTGTAACCAAACTAAAATAATAATATAACACAGGGAATATGAAAAAAATATATATAGAAAATATGTATGCTGGATTAAAGCACACCTTCTTTCACAATTAATAAAAGACCCTTAGTGCCAATATTCCTATGGCAAGCCAAACTTGGGGCATATCATTTTTATATAATATTCAGGATGATAAGTTCTTTCGTAGAATTATAAACTTGTATTTGATAGTGATACCTTTTTGGTAAGATTTTAAATTTGATTAGGAGCTGTGGTAATGCAGTGGTTAGAATGAAGTATTACAGGCTGACTCTACCCACAGCCAGGAGTTTGATCCTGACCAGCTCAAAGTTGATTCAGCCTTCAAGGTGAGTAAAATGAGGATCCAGATTGTTAGGGACAATAACGCTGACATTGTGAGCCACATGGAGAGTGCTGCAAAGAACTATGGCGTGGTATATAAGTCTAAGTGCTATTACTATTCAGAGGCTTCAAGGAGTGAGGACAATCTCTTACTTTTCCCATCCTTATAGTTCACTTCTAACTCTGCCCCTTTGTTTTACAATTACCAAACTTCAGACACATTATGTGAGGACCTACCTCACTAGAGAAAGCTCTAATCCTGAAAAAGGTGGAAGGAAAGAGAAGAGGATAACCAGCAGAAAGATGGATGGACTGAGCTACAGTGGGGATAACTGTACCATTAGAAGATCTGAAAAACCATGCTAGGGATCACCTTAGCGGTTGCTAAGCATCGACAATGACTTGATGCAGGGGTGGGATGCAAATATTTTTACAACTAGTTCTGTAGGCGTGGCTAGGTGAGTGTGGCCATGTGACTGGGTGGGCGTGGCTTCTTTTTTAAGCAACACCCACCCCCACCCCACCCCCGTGCACTCAGTTTATTTGCCTCCTGTGCCTCAGGGAAGCCTCCTGGGTGAAGCAGTAAGACAGCAAGGGGGATCCCGGCACAGATTATCATTGGAACAGCTGATTGTCGGGAGGAAGGAAAAAAATACTGGTTCAGCTGAACCGGTAGCTGTATTTTACTACCACTTCTGCCAAACAGTAGCATTTTTTTTGCTACCAGTTCGCTCAAACCGGGCCAAACCAGCAGAATGTCTTGATGGCACATAATCAGGGTGCTTTTATCCCCAACGGAAAGATAGAGTGGAACATCTCATTTCCAATGTCTCCAAATCTCCCTCATGGAGGTGTGAACTAACACCAGGTGCTGCTCTGTCTTAGGGAAAAATGGACATGAGAGCTGGCAGCTTCTTTGCATTCGTAACACTTTTACAAACAAACCTAGTTGAGCCTGACAGAGAGGTAATAGTAGGCCATGACCGTCATATTTCAAGTCACAACATGGCTGGATTCGCTTTTATGACTATTTTACAGTAGTCCAGGCCAGGGGTGTCAAACTCAAGGCCTGCGGGCAGATGCGGCCCACGGGGTGCTTAAATTTGGCCTGCGGGACCGGCCTAGACATAGCAAAGGATCGGCCCATAGTGCCTCTGCTAGTGAAAACAGGCCATGGGGGAGGCAGAAGGGAGGCTCAGGCAATCTCATTGTACGTATGTTGTACTGTGACAATAATCCAAGAAATCCAATTTGACACTCCTGTAGTAGTTGATAAGTGAACATGGCAGTTGTAAAGCACCACAGTCATTAAGCAAACCCATTGGGCTGGGTTTTTTTTTTTTTTGCCACAAACCAAAATAATGCCAGTTTCTGGCAAAGCCATCACAAATCACGTGACCATGAGGTACTTCCAACAGCTGTAAACACAGCACCCCAAATGAGGTCATGTGACCACAGGGGAGGGGGCAATGTGGGAACTTCAAAACTGGATCGTAAGTCTTTTTGGGAGGATCTATCGTGACTTTGAACTCCACCACCAAGCCTATGCTAACCGATTCTCCTCTGGCTGTTTTTCTGTTCTTGTTCATGTCAGTAAGTCATTCACTTCAATCCCTTCAAAGCTCTCCAGCATTTTATTACAGCTTGTTTTGCTGCCAGGAACAGATGTCCTATTAAGATTTTATCGTACAACTGCAGAGGTTGCCCATGAAAGGTTTTTAATAAAGCGAATAAATTCACTTGACAATTGCCTAGCTTAGCAACAGAAATGTTGGGCCAAGTTGTGGTCTTTAAGTCGAGAACTACCTGTAATGAGATTGTGAGATCGGCAGACAGAGTGCTAATTTAAGGAGATATAAGGCATCTTGGCAAAGCGGTGTGTGGGGGGCGGGAATCACAATCACAATCCTACCTTTGAGGGCACAACTTGAAGATGAAGACTTTGCTAGAAGTTGCCGCTGCGGAGTGAACACAAAGAAGTTTCCAAACAACGAAACAAAGGAAAGAATGGGCACATGTCCAGCTGGTTGATTGATACTGGAAACTGATGTTCAGATCAACAAACCAAGCCTTCACCAGCCTGGGTCCTACTGGGTGAGTGAGACGT